AACCAACTGAGTTGTGCCCACACCCCATCCGTGTGATGTCAGCTGTCACATCAGGTTCTCGCCAGGGAACACACCGCACAAGGAACAACTCAAGTACCAGAGTCAACCGGATGAGTAGGAGAGAGGTCTGACAGCCAGTCATCAAACAGCACTGTCACCATGTGCACGCAGGGCAGCGGGCCACCGTCTCAGTCGGTTCACAGAGCCGGTGTCGGTCACGGCTGATAGATTCTCTTGGTTGTAAAGCAAAATTGCCATCCTCTCCCCCGGGCCAGCCTTCTAGAAAGGTTCCAGTATCAAAGCCCAATGTTCCTCTTTGCTTTGTATTTCAGAGACAAGGTCTGACTGCATCCATCTTCAAAGGCAGGGTGGCTCTGCTAACCTTCCTAACGCTGGGATTGCAGGCGTGGGCCTCCACTCCCCGCTAAGTGTTCCAGTCTTGAATTCATCCCCGCCATGAGGGCTTGGTGGATCATGGAAATGGGTGGATTTTTCTTTAGTAACACGATCCTTGTGTGGGTATAAGTGACAGATGATTTTAATTCAGGGACTATTTTTCATTCTGTTCTAAAAATATGTGAATTGATTTAAGTGATAGAAACTTGTTTCTTTAAAATAAAAGGCTTTCTTCTCTAAAAGATGAGTGCACAGCGACATCTAGATGATCTAGTACATCAGAAGGTCCAGCACAAACGTAAGTGTTTGAGGTCACAGTTCCTAAGCCTGGCTCTATTCCAGCGACTTGACTAGCTCTGCTCACTGGGAACTGAGATGTGGCTTTGAATGCCAGGATCGTGCTTTCAGAACTGAGGCAAACCAAAAATGCATATACTTAGACTTACAAAACAAATTGTCTGAAGTAACCCCCAACGGCAAGAAGATTGAACAAGAAGATGAGTCACCGGTTATCATAAAATTCCATTTTATTGTCACCTCCAGGGTGTGTACCCCCAAGACATTGCTTCTGACTGAAAGCACGGTTTGTAGACTTGAATTTTGTCACTTTCCCAGAAATAAAGAATAGATTGGGCACAAAGTAGACAACAGGAAGGGAAAGGAGCCAGAACAATTCACAGTAATGAGTTTAGCAAGTCGGACAGTAGCAGTCAGAGCTGACTGGAAACGGTGTTGCCTGAGTCACATGCTTATGCTACTTTCCATTTTTTTCCCCCTTCGAGACAGGGTTCTTCTGTAGAACAGCCTTGACTGTCCTGGAATTCTGTAGCCCAGTCTGGCCTCAAACTCAGAGAGAAGCGCCTACCTCTGCCTCCCCAAGTGTTGGGATTAAAGGCGTGCGCGACCACATCCAATGCTAATTTTATTTTTTTAAAGATAGGATCTCATGTATTAAAGGCTGGCCTTTAGCTCTTAGCCAAGTACGGCCTGCCTTCCTGCACCTGAGTGCTGGAATTACAGGTGTGCATTCCATGCCCAGTTTATGTGGTGCTGGGATCAAACCCAGGCCTTCATGCAGTCTGGGCAAACATTAACATCTGTATCTTCTGCCTGACTCTGCTATGTTAATAATTGCCATTCCAGGACTTCAGGGGGAGGGGAGACCACAAGATACTAGACCCAGGGACAAACAGCTGAATCAAGGAGTCAGGAGAGAGGCACTTTTAATCTGAAGGAAGAAGGAGATTACAAGAGCAGGGAAAATACAGGTCCAGAAAAATGTTTTCCTTTCCCCTCTGTGCTGGCCAACAAATGGCCGTGTCCACAGGGACCAGACAGACCTTTTCAGACCTCACTAAGGAGAGATGTAGCTCACCTTGGTGAAGGCCTCCACAAACCAACCTGTCATCTCAAAATGACAAAATGTGGCGCTGGCATGATAGCTCCACAGGTAACGGTGCCTGCCTTCCACCAAGTGCCAGGACACATGGTAGAAGGAGACAACCAATTGACTTCCCAAGTGTCCTCTGCCTCCCACATGCACACGGCGGCAGGCATCCACACACATACATGGATAAATTCATAGCTTTTCCTGTCAGTGTTTGCTGAAGGAGTATGTCCAGTAACTAGGTTCTTCTGTGATACAAAGAAGAGCCCTGCAGAAGCAGAGTCTAAAATACCCTCGGAGAGGAGAACACAGAAGAACCCCGAGCTGGGTGCTCCGACTTGGGCCGAGCGAGGCCTTGCAAGCGTCCCTGAGACAGTTCTGACCTGAGCGACACTGAAGCGGCGGAGGGCTGGGGCCTTGTGAAAACAAGAGGTGGGGAGGGCCCTAACTGGCAACCTGGGACATGGCGAGCCAAGTGGGACGGGCTGTGTGAAAAAGACAACGTTCATCTTTCCACAACAGCTCCCACCTCTCCACAGAACTATTGAAAGGTTCCATGGCTGTGGAGTCAATTCTGTGGCAGGATTTCCTGGGAAGCACTTGTCAGATGAACAAGATGGAAGACTACCTGGTCATGCCTGAGTCTGAGTGTCAAGAATCCCAAACCCCTCTAGGTGTCCCATACCCTCCACATGCCTGCCATCAGACCCTGAACTGATGGCCACCACAGGGAAGAGGACCAGAGATCACGAATTACAGAAGGGGAGAGCTGTTAAGTGCTGCCTTCCCCTCCCAGTGCATCCGTGGTGAGGACAGCCCCCTGACCGTGTTGAAGAATGCTACTCAATCCAGAACTGCCATAGGCTAGCCCTGAGGCACCTCACCCAGCAGCCCGAGGGACGACAGTGAAATCCGGAGTTACTGAGTATATACTCCTTGGTTTTCTGTACTCACTGAATTCAGTGCTTAGACTAGCCTCTGGTACATCTGAAGAAACAGGAAGTGGAGCATAGGCTACCCCAGTCTGTGCTGTAAACTGCACAGCTCTCTATGGCGACTGCCAAGACTGGTAAGGTCACTAGGAAAGCCTCTGATAAGCTAGGCCACTAGATAAACCAGGAGTTCTGGGCAAGTTCCCACTCAGTAACGTGGGAAGTCTGGCCACGAGGAGCGGCTCCCAGGACCTAAAGGAGCCATAGGTATGAAAGCCCTCTGGCCTCTGGCAAGTAGTAAGTGCTCAGTATCAACAAAGGGGACAGTGACCACACAGAGCTCACGTAGAAGGTATACCAACATGGCACGCCACAGCCCTCACAAATGGAAGTTCTCAGTGCTGTACTGTTGCTAAAGGTGTGTGTGTGTGTGTGTGTGTGTGTGTGTGTGTGTGTGTGTGTCAGAGGCCAAGGCTGATCATACTAGTGAGCAGAGAGCTCATGTAGAATTCACGAAGACCTAAAGAAAAAAAAAAAAAAAAAACAACTTTTTTTTAAAAGCTAGAAATCCTATAAAGTAGCTCTCTCTTAAAAGGTCAGATATCCACACCTCACCTTGAGAGCAAAAGGCGGAGCAGGCACTGTGTTCTCGGGGTGGGGTGGGGGGGTGGGGGTGCGGCTTAGCACAGTGGCAGCCGTGGGCAAAGGCCCAGGCTCTGAGAACTCCACTCTCCCTGGACAAATGATATGTGAAGAGACTGGAACACAGACAAGAGGGGCCGGGTGCTCTGGGTGAGGTGTGCGTGAACCAGGCCAATTGGGCACATCAACCTGGGGCAGTGGTTCTCACCCTTCCTGATGCTGCGACCCTGTAACAGTTAGTTCCTCAGGTTTGTGGTGATCCCCAACCACATAACTTCATAACTGTAATTTTACTACTGCTATGAATCGTAATGCAAATACCTAATATGCAGGATATCTGGTATATGCCCTGCCCCCAAGGGGTCCTGACCCACAGGTTGAGAACCACTGGTCTAGACCCTCTTCTAGAAGGCAGTGATCATGTAAGCCCCTCCTGCTAAGGCACTCTGGACTTGGATTTGTCAGCTCAGTATAGAAGACTAAGTTGGTATTCTTTAGTTCTGGTGGTTTTGTCAGGAAAACCGTACTGGCTTTTGGCTGAGCATCCGTCAATTCACTGAGTGGGGCAGTTAAGAATTCTACCAAGGGTCAAGTGTAGGAGGGACAGAGCACTTGCCTAGTGTGGTAAAGCACTTGACTAGTGTGCAGCACACACGGGTGACAACCACTAACTAGTACAGCTGCCTTTCCTCTGGTTCACAAAGAACAGGGGGGGCTGTGGCGCCTCGATCTGATACTGTGTGTTCCCTAATCAAGTTGAATGCGTTCTGAATCTTTAGTCCGGGGGCACGAACAGCCTACTATCAGCCCCCAGAAGAACAAGGACTTGAGAACTAATTTTCATGTTAACAGCAAGACCAGGTGTGGTGACACATACTTGTAATCTCAGTCCTGAGGCTGAGCACAAACTCGAGACCAGCCTAGGCTACATAGGGAGATGCCTGCTTATTTGTATCTGTTTAAAGGAAGTGCAGAGACAGAAGCACCCTTGGGGTGGCTACTCCGTCTCACTGCCAAGCAGTGGGCAATGCAATACCACACACTTACCTCCCAGGAATAAGATTCCATGTGCAGAGAACTAAGGGGAGGTTGGCTATCTACCATCACCCAGAAAAATATGCTTGGGCAGATTAGGTTAGTGTTCATGGGTAGTAAAATAAAGCAACAAGCAGTTATAGCTCAGGATCCCATCTTTCCTGTTCCTGCCTTGGTGGAGAACCCGATACAAACATCCTCTAACAGACTTCTTAGCCACTCCCATCTGAACATGACTATTAGCCCTTAAAGAATCCAGAGTTCCAAAGGGTTACCACTGGAAGAAAAATCTTAAAAACAACAACAACAACAAAAACCAAGGTGACCGCCAGTCTCTGTGACCCGTGAGACAGAATATGGAGGCCCATCAGCTGTGAGAACTGAGGAACCCACTCCCATCACCTCCAGCTACACCAGAGCCCTTACATCCGTCACTCCCTCCGTGGGACACAAACTCATCACAGGGCATCACAGGGCAACACTTCGACACAACACAAACATGCTCAGGGCTCTTCTTGATCAACTCTTTGAAGTACTTTTTTAGGGATAATTTCTTTAAAAAATAATTTTAAGAAATCAGGCACATTTAAAACACCAGCTCCCGGTGATCAGAGTAGTTAAAAGTATTTTTATTATAAATTTCAGGATCTGAGAAGTAATGTTCCGTGACTAAGTTAAATCTGAGAAGACTTCTTACCAAGCACATATGCCTTGCAGGTGGCACTTGGCCCGAAGACATGGGGGCGGGCCCAGCCCTCCCTGAGGGTGGGGTCAGCCGAGTGATGGGAGATCTCACTGAGTCCCACTAGCCAAGGAGTGAGTGCATGGGGTCCTCCTGGTCTGTCACCCTGGCATCGGGTTGACAAGCGTTCAGGCCAAGGAGTCTCCTTGGACTCTGAAGACCAACAAACCAACTCCTGAGCAGCAGTCTCAGTCTAAACTTCAAGTTTCTGTCCCACTTTTCATTAAGTGATACCTAATATTACATGATAAGGTTTTATCATTTCTTTCAATGATTTACACTGAATAAGGGTTATGATCCAACTTGTTCTGTAAGTCAAAGGCTGACCTGCTTCCTACATGGTAGGGGACCCACAGAGAAGCTGATGATGTCCCATCGACCAAGGTCAGGTACTGGGAAACACACTACCCCAGGGTTCTAGATGAAGTACATGTCATCAGAGGTCTCACTGCTAAGTCATGGGCACCTGGGGTAGCTAGCTACACCAGGAAGAGGTCAAACAGACCTTGACGGGTTGTGTAGACCACCTTCCTGCCTCTAAGAACAGTGACTGCAGCCTGTACTGGCAATCAGACTGGAGGACCCTAAGTCCCCACGGCTTCAACATATTGTCTTCTTGGGACAGACAAGGTTTCACCATGCAGTCCTGGCTGGTCTCAAACTCAGTATGTACACTAGGCTAGTTTTGAACTCGTGATACTCTCTTTGCCTCTACTTCCTAAATGCTGGGATTACAGACGGTGCCACCAAACCTGGCCTGGGTATTTATCTTTTAAAAGGTTCCTAAAGGCAGCATCTTTAAAAGATGGAGCCATGGGGAGGCTTCGGGGGGTTGTTGGGTGTGAAAGGGGTACAGGGTGAGACACACTGTGCTGAAGTACCTGAGAGGTGGTGCAATGTGGGAGAGCACCTCACGCTACAGAATGGGGAACCAGAATAAAAACAGCTGCAGAGCACAGCAAGTTCACCTGTTCTGAGAAACTGCAACAGGATGAACAGCTGGCTGGCCCCAGCTGCGGCTTCCTCCCCCAGATTCTCGCCCCGCCCCCCAGATTATCTTAATTGAACCCTATCCCTTAAAGCAATGGCCCTCAACAGGGGGTAACTTTGTCCACGGGGGACATTTGGCAATGTAGGAGACATTTTTGGCTGCCTTCACTGGGAGTGGGGTGCCACTGGCATCTAATGGGTACAAAGAAGCCAGGGCTGTTGCCGATCGTTACATAACGCACAAGGCAGCCTCCTACAGAGAATTACTGAAAGGTCAAGGGTGCCCAAGTGGACAGGCCTGTTCTAGATGGGAGCTTCACTCTTACCCTTCCAAATCTAGCTGAGCCAAGGCCCCTGGGATGACAAGCAGGCCAATGGGAACAGTATCTCAAGCCACTGCCATGCTGAAGAGAAAGCCCAATCCCCCAGTGTAAGGTCCAGCCAGCTGCTGGCGGTCTGAGTTCCAGTGGATACAACTAAAGCCGCAGGGTCCTTCCATCTTCACCCCTGAAGAAGCCCTTACTTCTTCCTCAGAGCCAACGCAACTCCAACGGCCACTGCTAGGATGGCTACCGCAGCGGCCCCCCCAAACAGCAGTACGGCCTTGCCCTCAGCGCCCACGGCACCCCTGGCTGCCCCGGCAGCAGTGGCCTCCCCAGTGTGGCTCTCTTTCCCGCTCCCGGCCCCCTCCGCGCTCAGCTGGACCGCCCGCTCCGCCCCCTCCAAGGCAGCAGGTCTCGCGGCTGCCGCCTCCAGCTCCTCCTCGCCAAACTCCACAAACACCGATGGAGTGGGGCTGCCTTTCTCCACCCTCACTTCGGTGGCTTCCTTGGTGGCGATCTGTGGCAGCAAGGGCGCGGCGGCGGCCCCTGGGAACGCCTCCTCCGGCACCTCCTCCTTCTCCACGTGCACAATGTCGGAGTTAGAGGAGTTGTTCTCACTCTTCTCCCCCGCCCCGCTGCTGTCCAAGCTTTTCACTTCCTCAGGATCCATGGCGATCTGCTGCCAGGACTCAGGCCCAAGGGAGACCGGGAGGCTTTCTGTGTGCCAACTCTGGCTAGCAGACAGTGAGACAGGTAGGCTCTCAGACTGCCAAGAGGTTGTCACTGTTGGGGACTCTGGGGGACTGACTTGTCCGGAGTTGTCACTGGGCAGGATATAAATGTCATTACTGTCTTCTGCGATAATTCCAGGGTATTCTTCCTCCTCAGACTCAAGACTAAAGACAGTGCCCTAGAAAAGAGGGAGGATCCACAAACAGACTCATTAATATTAAAAACTGTCAACCTAGGAAAAACAACTCGAACTCAAAGAGCGTCACCTGCCTCTGCCTCCCAAGTGCTGGGATTAAAGACATGGGCCACCACTGCCTGGCTATAAGGAAGAAATCTCTGACAGTCCTGCTGCATCATGTACAGCCAGTTAACTCAAAACAGCAGAGAAATGCAAACCAGGTCTGTCAGTCACTCAGCACAGAACCACTGTCATGGACCAAGTGCTAGTGAGAGTCAGAGGAGAACGGGTCTCGGGCTGTGAGAAGGCAGGGTGAGGGCAGAAAAATCCTGCAGTTCTGGCAGCGCAGGCCACTGGGAAGATGCCATCCAGCCAGAGCACAGAGTTAGAAAAGGGGGAGGCAGGGCTGGCAAACTGCTCCCTCTGTACTGTGTCCCTGAGGAACAGAAAGTCCAGTCATGGCTGGCAGACTAGAGACAGGGGTGTGATTCCATAGCTAATGGTTAGTCAATGCAATCTCCTAAGGTGAAAAGTATAACCAGAGCTCTGCTTTAAACCTTACTCTGGGCCAGCTACATGGCTGAGCAAAGTCAAGGTGCTTGCTGCAAAGACCCATGACCTGAGTTCAATACCCAGAGCCTACATGGTAGAAGGAGAGAACTAACTCTTATTCCTTACTCCATGCACATACACACAATAAGTAAATAAATATACATTTTGAAACTGATGACATAACATTTACACTGTCTTTAGTGGGGTGCAGTGGCGTATGTGTGAAACACCAGCTCTCCAAGAAACCGAGTTAAAGAATCACTAAGTCCAGTAGCTTGCCGGGCGGTGGTGGCGGCGCACGCCTTTAATCCCAGCACTCGGGAGGCAGAGCCAGGCGGATCTCTGTGAGTTCGAGGCCAGCCTAGGCTACCAAGTGAGTTCCAGGAAA